CGTCGCATCATTCAGGTGGATGCTGCACATTGGTGGTGGTGGTGGTGGAGGGGAGTCCCCATTACCTGTAAAGCGCTTTGAGTGGAGTGTCCAGAAAAAGCGCTATATAAGTGTAAGCAATTATTATTATTATTATTATTATTATTATTATTATTATTATTATTATTATTATTATTAGAAGGGGGTGAACACATTGGCTTGGCACTGTAAGCACATCTAGGCACTCGTTGCTAGGAGAACATGAAGAACTATAAATTTCCCATATGACAAATTCGCTTTTCTTATGGAAGCTTAATGATAGCAAGCCCAGGCATTTATCAAAACAGGAAGTCCAACTCATTTAAATGGCTGGGCTGTTAATGAGGATCAATCCCCCAATTTTGTGACCATTTAAAGTTTTTATACATTTTTTTTATATACATGCTCATATAAGGCTTAAGATGATTATTTCATTCTTGGTAATGCTGTGGCTGAATTTTAATAAATATTTCACTCCAGAAGAGCACCTAAGAGGTCATTCATATTTTATGTAGCATCTCACAGCATCAGTGTTTTGTGGAGTTAAAAGAAGATTTGGTATGCTCGTCTGTTAAATGTGCACACAAATACAGCAGCTAAATTTGAGGTACATATTTGAGAAGAAAGACATGTGGTCATAACTGAGTTTTCAAAGGGGGAGCAACCTTTGCCTTGAGCTCTTTTTGTATATAATAATAATGTCAAAGCAGAGAAAACTGTCTTGATTCATTCTATCCTTAACGGTGTGGAAACAGTCCTCTTAATAATTTGAACATAAGGTCAGTCTTCCTCAAGCCATTATATCTTATTGATACGCTCTGTAGGCTTAATTGGTATTGAAGGCAGAGTCAATGATTTTCTCCTACATGCTTTGCAGGGCCTGCAACAAGCAGAAAGACCTTCCTGTATTTCTTTCAATATATATTAATAAGCACCCTACAGCTGGATCTCACACTGGGAAGAGCGCTCCCAGGAAAATTGCTCTGTCCATCTCTGTGCAGAACATATAGAAGACTGGACAGCAGGGGGTCTAGTATTAGAAACCTCTTGAATGGTCGGAGTGAGAATGGAAGACAGGTTTCTTTATGCATTTTTAGAAATGCAATTTCAGCATCTCTACATTCACAGGAGACCAGAAAAACCTGCTAAAATATAAACGAACACATACAAATATGATAGATATGATAATTTAATAAAAATATGACAGTTCCAAAACAAGCAAGCCCATGTAGCTACACAGCATTTAAAATGTACAATTAAACACAGAAGGTGGGATGCAATGTGAAATTTATGAATGTGGAATATTAAAACCTGCTGATTCACGAGACTGCTGCTGCTCCTGGCCCTAAGTGCTTCTACATGGGCGTTTAAGTGTGCCCACAGAAGATGCAATGGGCTTGAAGTGTCAGAACACGTCATTAAATCTCACGTTTTCGACACAAGGACGTTTACAAATGAGATGAGGCCATCTGCCTCATCTATCCCATTGGGAAAGTAGATGATCCCCAGGTCTCGCCCAGCCATTTCTGAAAAGAAGCCAGGCTTTCAGCTTCGGCAGCACTCCTGGGTGGCTTGTTTCACTTTCCCACAACCCCCTGGGTTTGAGGGCTGTCTCCTGTTCTCGGTATTTAATGTGTTATCAGCTGTTGATATTTCACTGTTCTGACTAGGGTCAGAAGGTGGGTAGTTTCCTGGATCACTCTGACTCAAGTGGCTTGATCAAGGGTCCACCAACAGTGCCCAACCTAGGACTGAGCCCACAGCCTTCTGAGTCCTGGCAGACCTGCTGCCCTGCTGCCTCTTTCTCCCTCCCCTTCTTGTACTAGTGATGCATTTTTTTGGGGTCTGAAGGCTGTGCTAAGGTGATTTATATTTGACTTTGATAGTGGCATTAGGGAGCATGCAATTTTAATACAGTGGAATAATACTTTCGTACTGTGATCTTTATTCACACCACATTTCCCCTTCAGTGAAAACAAAAAAAAACTATTATACAGATTCTGGTATTTTCAAAAGGTTCTGGATCTTTTCTTAGTCAATAACTGTACTATAGTACATCACGTGATGTCTGAAACTGATTTGGCTGATCTACAAAATAATATCAATGTGATACAAAGAAGGTTTTTTGGCACTATTTGCTTTGGCTCCACAGGAACTCAGAAGCAAATTGGTTAATTTACTTGCACAGAAAAAGAAGAATTGAAGGAAAAAAAATCTTCAGCATTGCAGTGGTCTTTTGTATAGCAATATAGTTTATATGTTCCATATCAGTTTTGTAAATAAAATTTTAACTCAATTTAAAATTTAAAATTTAAACTGCATTCCAAAAACCCCGATGCACATTGGCTAGTTTGGAGAGCAGTACACAGGCTTAAACAAGAGCTGTCCCAGTAGCAGCAGTGCATCCCGTTTTCTTGAGATGTTTATGGTATTCAAAGCAGAAAGCTCTGTGCCATTGCCTCAGCTCGGTTAGCAGGGGCAGGCTTCCTTCTCTAATCTCAGAGCTGGGGGTCCACGCCCAGTGAGGACTGCAAAGGCTGAAATCGAAACGTCCCTGCACCGAAGTTTCCACTTTCTCGTTCTCCGTCATGCTTGTCACGTTGTCAGTGTTGACAATGTAGAGAAAAGAGAACTTTCAAACAGCTCGTTAATAGCTGCGTCCACCTTTGCTACGCTGGCGTGGTCATGGAATGAGCCACAGTGGCAAGGAAAGGAAACTGCTAAGGTTGTTTTGGGAATTCTGAGCCCCAGGATCTTGGCTGCCTTAGATTAGGACAGGCAATCGACGATGCGGTTTTGGGATTAATGCTGTCCTGCTCTGCAGGGCCTGTGTTTCCCCGTGTCTGTGTGAGAGGATCTGGAACCCGGGGCAGGGCAAGCAGAATTTGATCCACTCATTGTGTGGGGGCGAGGTGGTGTTGAGCCTCTGGATGGCGCTAGTCTGGAGCTGAGGAACCTTGAGGAAAACTGAGAACTTTATCTCGTCACCAAGAAAAATATTTATTTACCATAGACAAGTGTTTCATGAAGATGTGGAACAAAACTGAACAAGAGAATGCGGCACTTTATGTTTTCATCGGCTCTCAAAGAGATGACTAACATCAAGGTCACAGCACAGCTCCTGAGTTTCGGGAGAGAGATTAATGACAAATCTGAAACTGCAGAGGATTTTGTTAGCAAAGGGAAGAATGAAAGACACAACAAAGGTGCCTGATTTGTATACAAGGGTTTCTGGATGCCTTGACCGTCTAAAGCTTCGCTTGAGGTAAACTAGCAAATGTGACCCCAGATTGCAAGGTTTTGACTAAGGAATGAAACACAGGACTTTTAAAAAGAATGTCTTTCTTACAGACAGAAAGAAGCCTTCAATCAAAAAGACATTATTTTCCATGCTCGGGTGCCTCTCTGGTAATGAAAATACTGAACCAACTAAGACAAAGGGGTCTCAATCAGGGCTGGTTCATTTCCCTTTTGAAAGACAATGAAACCGAACACCAGGACTTAATTTATTATTACAAACACCCACTAGCTCCAGTTTAGGAAAGGTGTTGTAGCGCCTGAAGGTGCCGAGACAGGAAATGTGCATTTTCTTGAGATGCAGAGGAAGCACAATGATTTCTGCCAGATCAAGAGGTTCATACTCAGCAGGAGTCCCCACTTTAGGTGCCGTAGACCTACAGTTAAATGTGTCAAATGAGCAGGTGCAAGGAAAGGCGTTTGTCTGTACACAAACTGCATTGAAGTGTTAATACTCAAAGCCAGGTTGTCTTGTTTACAAGCCAAATGAAGAATAAGGCTCATTTTCTATCACTCTGATACTTGAGCATGATAGAAGCAGGATAGAACTTGTCAAGAATGACAAGGTTGCATGCAGGTTGTCTTGTTGATGCCAAGAAGCAGAAAATGAGCCCTGACTCAGAAGACACAGAAAAGACACAGCTGACGTCATACCCTAAACCACGAGAAAGAGCCCCAGCAATTACAACTGCACGTCATTGATTTCGAAGCGCAATTCCTGCTGTAAGGAAAAGATCTGTGATTTTTTTCTGTTGTGTTTCAATCACTGAAGTTCCAAAATAAACTGCTGTACAAGGACGCC